CTTGAGGAGGGTGGGGGGGGGGGGAGGGGTCCAAAAAGTAAGCGTGCAACAGGGGGAGGGAAGGTATAAATGTTTTTTTGTTGCTTTTTTGTGCGAAATTTCAGTTGAGTTGTATCTTGGACTTCTTGGATGCCAATGCCAAGGTCGATGGCTCCCGTTCCGGAGCCTCATTTTATTTCTTTGATGCTTCATTACGCCTTGCTTGCATGAGGTCAATGGCTTTTCATGAGATGTGTATGACTTTATCTTTAATTGACTGTCCACGTGTGCTGTGCCACGTGTGCTGTGCCATGTGTGCTGTGTCATGTGTGCTTTGCCATGCATGCTGTGTTATGTGTCCTGTGCCATGTGTCCTGTGTCATGTGTGCTATGCCATGTGTCCTGTGTCATGTGTGCTATGCCATGCATGCTGTGTTATGTGTGCTGTGCCATGTGTGCTGTGCCTGTGGGGTTTTCCTCGTGCCTTGTGAGATTCTTTGGCCTTAACATTTACATTTCTTGACCTCACAATTTAAGAAAAGCCAATAGGAACTTTGGACTTATGATTGGTGTGTTTGTTTGACTCAAGTCTTAGGATGTACTTCTGTGGCCATCAATTATAAACTGATAAAGATGTGGAAAAAACTAACAAAGATTATAATAGTAAGAAGAATAAGCGGACCGTGCAAGTTTAACGAGTCTTTAGATCAACAGTATTAAACTTTATTAAAAAAAACAACAACAACTGATTCAGATGGCCTTTGTGCAAAATGTTGAAGTGAATTTTCTGTGGCATCTGGAGGAAAAAGAGATATCGAAAAACATTTGGCCATTGATAAGCACAAGGCCACCTTGAGTGCGGCTGCAACCTCCACACCCTTGACTGATCTTTTCAGAAGTGCACATCTTCGTGGAGAAGGGAAAGAGCTTGCCGCTGCAGAAGGAACATTTGCCTTTCATTCAGTGTGTCATAACCATGGACTACACTTCGAGATTGGCACAAAAGACATTTCAAACCAAGTTTGCTTGTGCCAGAACAAAATGTGAAGCCATTGTTGTCAGCGTCAAAGTCTAACCTAAAAGATGATCTTAATGCCGCAAACTCTCTGTCCTTAGCAATCGATGCTTCAAACCACGAAGAAGTGAAATTATTTTCTTCAGTTGTGAGGTACTTTCAGCCTATGTCAGGAGTTAAGGTAAACCTTCTGGAACTGCATGGCCTTAAAAGTGAAATAGCTGATATCCAATTTGATTTTCTTAGAGACACTTTGCACAGACACAACATAGCTAGCAAACGTGTGTGTTTTGCTACTGATAATGCACATTTTGGTGGTGTTGACAGAAGGGGTGCTAACAATGTTTTTCGTAAGCTGAATGATTTTTTAGAGCTTTTAAAGTAATTGCAATTGGATGTGCAGCCAATATGGTCCATAATGCAATCCAGAGTGCAGCAGATTGCTTACCCGTGGATGTTGAATCAAATGTCAACAAGATATACCTGTATTTTTATATCCACCAGTCAGGGTAAAATTACTGAAGGATTTTTGTGAATTTGCAGGTGTTGAAAATCAACGCCTTGTTGGATGCAGTAATACGAGATGGTTAGCAATGCCAGGAGCTATAGAGAAAGATCTTGGCAATATTCTCTGGTCTGAAGAACTATTTTGATCTGTAGAGAGATGCCCAACATGGCTTTTTTGAAAAGCCAATTGCAGAGATCTGGGTATATTTCCTACACAACCAAGCTGTTATCTTTCAGACTGAAAAAAGATTGAGAGCCAGACTGCAACATATGTTGAAGTAGCTGAAATTGAAGAGTTTCCTGCTAAAATGTAAGCAAATGTTAGAATAGAAATTTGTTCCACTCATTATTCGCATGAAGTTAAAAGATTTGGAAGAAGCAGGTGAAATAAATGCAAGAGAGATTTAGAAAAAGCAATGTTTGCATTCTATGACAGGCCTACATGTGTAACATAACTGCAGCGTCGGTCTGTTCACTTTGAAGATTTTGAAATGTTTTCTTGGGTGTTTTTTTAAAAGAGTGCCTTCTTGGGACAACATAGTAAAAAGTGTCAATTATTAAAAATTAAATCTTCCCAGGGAAAATTGTTGATAGTGATCTCTTCGATGAGCTAACTTATGTGAAACGTTTTTTTCACCTTCTAAGCTGGAAAATGGAACTTGGAAAATATTTCTGTAGATCATAAATTGGTGCAAATAGTTAAAAATTTCAAAGCAAATGATGTACCTTCCATACATTTACAACTAGTGCTTTAGTTTTCATTCAGCCTTCCCTGCACAAATGCACCTATGGAGCAAACTTTCTCTCAGGTAAACAATGTTTAGACACCAGAGAAATCCCAGCTGAAAGTAACCACTCTGAGAGATATTTTGATTGCCCAGTGTAACATTGATCTAACATGTCCTCAGTTTTATGATACACTTTTTGAGAATGGAGACTTGTTAAAAGCCGTTCATGGGTGTGCAAAATATTCGCAATAGATTGTAACAAATTGATGTACACAAGGATGTTAAAACTCAAGCACAACACCCCCACCCCCACCATGGCTGCTGTTGCTGTGAGCCTCTGTGTCCACACTTAGCATCCAGAAAATCTGGTTAGCTTACATTAGTTACACATGCTGAATCATCACTGAATGGAAATGAAACTTTAGGAGCAATGTTTGCCTTTTTGCATTAATTTAAATGTAAATATTTCCAAGTTTTTATCACATAGAAAAAAAAAAAGGAACAAATATTGTTTTTTATGAAGTATATATTATAAATTTATTGGCTATGTGAAAACTGGTCTTTTAAAAAAAAAAATTCTGTATGAATGGCATATTTATTTATGAGATATGAAAGGCACGATATATTGATCTGAGGAAGGCCCTCAGCTTGAAGCCCTGGGCTACTGCCTGTGTGCCCATGCCCTAAGATTGGGAACACAATGTGGCTGCACTCCATGCCTAGTGGCAAGCACACTTACAAGTTTGAGATGCGTGGGTTTCAGCTTATATATTTTGGCACATACTTTGACATACTGTATTATTTATGTGACAAAACTCTCAAACTTTTTACTCAAGGACAGGATTGTGATGGGTCAAAGAAAAGTTAAATCCTGTCATTCTGGGGAAACTTGATACTAATGCTCCTCAATAAATAAATGAACAAGATTATCATCATTTAAAAATTTCCCACTTTATTTGAAAACATTATGAATTATAAAAAAAAAAAAGTTGATACAATTTAAAGGTAATTAAAGGTGTCTTTAAAGGAAAATTAAAAAAAACAACAACATACCTTTCAGTCAACAAAAATAAAGCTAAAAAATGCTGACTTAAGTCTGAGATTTTTTGGTTGAAATCTAATCTAATGTCTCGTTTAAAATTGTCATGTAATTATTATTTTTTTTAAAATTGTAATTAGAAATCATTTAAAAAAAAATCATTTATAAACTGCCCTTACTTCTGAGAGTTAATAAAAAAAAAAAATTGATTCAACATTTAAGTATGAGCGAGATTGACAAACTGGGTGACTTTGAGGAGTAGTGAGTGAAATTGAAAGGTAGATGCAATATGAATAAAATTAAATGTCAGCCAGAGGTATATTTGTACCGATATTATGAATTGCAGTGCTGAACTTAATCCTATCTAGAATTTCACAACAGTGCAAAATTATAAAAAAGGGCATTTTTGGAATGAGGCCTGTATTCCAATACTTTGCTCTGATGTTAGTTTGCAAACATGCATAGGAGCCAAAATGATCAATAAATTGATCGGGGGCCCTTAATATATAGAAGAAGAAAAGTGCAAAAAGCAAATGAATTTTTGAATATTTCAAGTGAATTCCCTAAAGAACTTAATTTATAGATTAAATCTAATTTTTTAAAAGTAATCATCAGTATATGATCATCCTGCTATAAAGAATAATCCAAAGATTGAAACAGATATAATACATTTTACACAATAACATAACATATGTGGTAGGCTTATTTAACAAAAAGATATATTTTTCATCCAACAATTGTTCCTGTTCCAACATATGGCTTCCATAAGTTTGAGACGTATGAAGGGTCATAGTTGTTCAGTAGCTGGCTGATGTCCAGTGGCTGGAAATATTTCAAGTTGTGGCTAAAAAAAAAAAAAAAAAAGGAAAAATCCTTTACTATAAATGAATATCTTAATTGAAGTATATTTTATATATTTCTATAAATTTGGCTTTTTGTTAGACTATTACGCCAAGATAAATGGGATTTTAATAAAAACTACAACATAATATGTCAGTTATTTTTTTAATGTGCAGACAGGTTTATAAATTTTATATCTGAAAGCATGACTTCCAGTGTTTTATATAAAAGTTAGTCTTACAAATCAGGTTTTGTCTCTCCGCCTGTTGCGGGGTACAAGGATTCATACACACGATCATCTCCCTCTCCATGTATGGCATATGCATTGAACTTGGTGACACCTGGTGGGAAATAATCTCTGGGCAAGATTGCCTCCCCTGTCCATCTATCCCCTTCAATTGTCGCTGTGTAGGTGGTCAGCGGTAGTTTATCCTTGACATTCAAACATTTACAGTTAACATTCAATTTGTAAAGAGCTTACCATATATTCATTTTACTAATTAATGCCCCAGGTTAATGTCTCCACCGGTTAATTTTGGGAAAATAAACTTTCAGTTTTTTTTTTAATCATGACAAAACAATGCTGCAATTTTTAATATATGACTAATCTTGTTATTTAACCCAAAATATGACTTATGAAAGAAGTGAATAAATGATTTAACACAAAATATGACTTATGAATGAAGTGAATAAATGATGTAACACAAAATGTGACTTATGAATGAAGTGAATAAATTGAAAAAATCTTTAGATTTAAATCCTCTGATTTGCTCAAATATTGTAACACATTTTTTTCCAAAAACTACATACAATTTTTTATAATTTGTATAAGCTGTTACATATTTGTAAATATATTTCATTTATTTACCTTAACTGCATGCCTTTCGCCATTCAGCATCAACAACAAGTGCTGACCCCATCTGGAAAAAAAATCATTGGGTTAGTGCTCCATTTTATGTAAGTCTAATGAGAAAAACTTTGAAACATTTGAAAATTCTAAGAGAAATATAACGGTACTGACTTCTAAACTCAGCATTCCAAGTCATTGTGTGTTTAAATATTTTTGTTTGATTCCACAAACAAATTAAGCTAAATGATGAGTTCATAAAATACACTCTATGGTAAACAGGGGAAGTGATAACCCCACAACATAGGATGAAGGATACTGTAAAACAAGGGAGCTAATATAATTGTGTCTTCTGAAAGGATCTTTAAAAAAAAAGAGTTTAGTTATGCAGCATATTGACAATGGCCCTATAGCCATACAGTCCCTTTCGAGCCATTTACATGTGATACATTTTTTAAAAACCCTTTTGTCATACACAATATAATGATATAATGCTATCATGTCTGCATTTAATTTAATGTGACTTACGGGCCTAGCTCTACTTCCAAATACTGGTCTTTATCATTAAGGAAAAAGGCTTCCACCACTGAAAAAATAAAGAAGTAAAAGTTTAATTTGAACTAAAATTACTAAAATTAATGGATTATTCATCAATTTACGGTTAGAAAAATTTTGAAAATCTAATTGTTTAGTCATTTAGAAAACAATTATTATAACCCATAGAATTTTTTTTACTTCATGTAACACTAAAGTTATCAAGCACAATGCTCTATAATTCTCATTCACACAGATTCAGTCAGTCATAAAAGTTCTCTTGAAAACTTATAAATCTATGAGATCTAATACAGAATGAATAAAGCTTGAATCTTAGCTTTTTAAAAACTAAATCCACATAGTCTAATCCTTACAATGATAATACAACAAATAAAATTGCTTATTACATTTCTCATGGCATTAACTTATCTTAATCAAGATTATGTTAACACAAATTAATCATCACCTTCGTAATCCCATAGTTGAGGAAAAGGTTGACCAGCAGGTCCATCTGGTCTTCCTGGACTGTTGAAAAATGGGGCCAATATTTTAATGATCATCCCCCCGTCAGCTGCTGGTGCCAATGAGATCTTGACAGGCTCATGCTGCACACAGTTGCCATTCCAGGTTGTCCTTATAGCAAAGTTCCTAGAGGTCAAAAATCAAAATAAAATATGACACCAAACATTGTAATGAATACCAGTAACATGATGCAATTAAATCATTATATATGTGAGCTTACATTGAAATTGCACAAAGTGTACAAAGTTTCAGCTCAGTTGAGATCAGGCAGTGGGTCAAAATTAAGATGCAAGATTTAAACTGCAGAGGTCACACAAGAGTCAGCGGAGGTCACCGGTGACCTACTGATCCTGAAGGGTTGTATTGGCATCAGGGGTGGGTAAGTGAACAAAGTTTCAGCTCAATTGGAGTCAAGAAGAGGGTAAAAACTAATATGCAAGATTTGACCAAGACAAAACTGTAGTAAAGCATATACAGTTCAGCATGCTTTTATTTACATTTATTAGTGGCAATGGCAATGTATGGATGACTAAATAATTCATATTTTCAAAATATGAATAGGTAATTCAGGATCCTAAGATTTTATTGCAGATGTTCATACATTGTTTTTGTTTACCTATAACCTTGCGATGTCCAGTGCTTTGGCCCAGAGATACGGCATATAGGGAATGTCTCCAATACAGTGTGAAAAATAACAAATAAAGCTAAAACTGTTATGATCACCACTAAAATTCTACTGAACCATAGTGAACAAGTATGTTTAGGAGCAAATCCTTTCGGCATAGTTCTTCCAATGTAAATTTCACTCCCTTCTTTGGGTATAACTTCATATTCATAAACACTCATTGATGTTTGGTAGATGCTAACCTGTGATTAAGTTACAGCAGGACAAATTAGTCACAAAAGATTAAAATAATTGAATTGATCAGAATGATGCCACTGTAACTCAGCCGTACTCTTCCCTAAAATTACTTAAACTTTCTGTATAGTATAGTATAGTAAAACCTGGTTAAGTCTACAGGAAAATTTAACTGTAAATCTAAGGTATCTTTAAAGTTTACATCAAGTGTTTTCTTTTTGTTGTTGCAAAGAGCTCACAATACCATTTTCTCTGATTTAAAACCTTTATTAAAATGCATTTTATTTATTTTCTCCATTAGTTTATGGATATAATTCATAGGTTGTTTGAAAAGAAAATTATTATGTTTTATCTGTTAAAGTGATGGTTAAAAAAACCAACATAACTTTGTTTTGTCTTAACTAGCCATTCATCCTACTTGTTAACACTAATATGTCTTCTATTCTACTATTCTACTTAAGCTTTATCAAAGTCTTGTAGAACTTGTAACACAAATCTCTCTTAAATAATTAATGATTAATATAATTATTTATAATGTGACTTAATTTTAATGTTAGTCCAGATAAATCATTAAGTCAAAAAAAAATATAATAATACTGATGACAGTACTTTCTACAATATTACACAATATATAGGCCTAACTATAATATATACTATATATACTATATACACTTATATATATATATATATATATATATAAAATATAATATATATATTATATATATATATAATATATATATATATTCTCTATTTTTTTTAAAATAATATATAAACACAATGTTTAAACTTTATATTTTTTTTGATTTTTTTAATTATAGTATATTTATATTTTTATTTATTTATATAAAAAAAAAAAAAAAGTCCAATTTTAAAATTAAATAGTAGGACTAGGAGGGGCCTCGTCTGCCCTAGTTTTAAAAAAATATTTAAAATATTAGGCGCCCTATAATTTTTATCATTCTTATAATACTATTTATGGTCATAGGATAGATTATCTACTGTAGTAGTCTATAGAGAAGTATAGATAGGCCAATCAGAGAAAGACTAAGATTACTAAGACAATTCAATATTTATTCGATGGCATCGTCGGGTTTTTTTCAATCAATCGAGAACAGGTTCCTACAACAAAGCAAGTCGTATTTATAAAATGTAAACATTTTTATGATGGTAGTTTTTATTTTCTATTCATAATTTATCTGATGGATATTACAATGTAAATGTAGCATTACAAAAAGCTTCAGTTTAATCAAAATCATGTAGGCCTATCGCTCAGTGTCCAATCATCATGAGCAACTCACATTCCTTGCAGAAAGATGAATCTTAAAATATACGTGGGTAAACAAATTGGCACGTGACCATAACACTACGTAATATTTTAATTCGTCGTTTTATCCACCACCCATAAAGCCGGAAATATCACCTGGTTGACATGAATAAATCGTAACCAACACACATTTGACCTGGTGGCAGCCACAAATTTAGGTACGTTTCATTTACATGTATGTTTGTTCATAAATAAAAACGTTTTAGCTTTCACCTAAATTTTATTCACACTAAATTGTTAAATCAAAATGAGTTGAAGTAGACTAAGTAGTGGAAAATAACTCTGAACTGGAATAACGCCACTAGCGGCCTTAACACTGTAATCGGAGCAGACGACAGTCACAGAGGCAGAATATTATTACTTAATTTTTTTTTGTCAACGTAATATTAATAAAGAAATGTATTTTAATTTACTGTGTATTCCAAATGTAAATTTGGAATTTTTTTTAGACCTTTGACCTCTGAACGTTTAATTCAGACTTTAAGTAAGTCTTTTTTACAGCGGATCTTACTTTTTGCATATACTCAGTGAGACGTTTTTTATTTTAAAAAAAACTTGCTCACCTCTGTGTAGTGACAGTTAAATTTAATTATACTTACTCTTACAGGCTATGTTCATTATTTAAAACGACTAGATAAAATATAGCCTAATTCATTTTAAATTATGACGAGTTGCAAGGGTTCATTTATTTTTTGTTACCTTTAGGCTTTAGGCTACTCATATTCATATGTCTAGTATGTGTACCGTGAACATATTATATGAAAATGATGAGATAATTATAATATATAGTGTGCACACATTCATATAGCTTGTTTATAGAGTCCCATTACACTCAGTCAGTCAGCTGTGCTATATATAAGTAAAGTTATGTAAGTTGTGTTTAGGATATGGCAGTGATCAAATATGTGATTACACTCACTGTGACACACAAACATATACATATATATATATATATATATATATATATATATATATATATAGATCAGTGAATATAAAGTTTGTATATAAAGAGGAGAGATGCATTTGACCAGGGTTAAAGGTTCTGCGTTCTACAAATTGTAAATTTTAATTTAAAAAGTAATAAAATTATAAGATTCCAAAATAAAAATCTTTGGAGAAATTCGATTCGTTTTATAGTTTTGGTAAATTGCTTGTCTGCTGTTCCCCATCACAGTCTTGATATTGATAGGCTAACAATTTAACTGGTTCTTGGACTTAAGGCATTTTGTCAAGACAAATTTGTAAATTTTTTTATATTTTTAATCCCACCCACCCCAGTTTTTGTAAACAATAAAAAAAACAACAACAACAAAAAACAAAACAACAACAAATCCCTGCAACAATAAAAACATTTTTTTAAAAAAAAGTTTTCCTCCATTCAGCCCATTCCTCGGTTAGAATTTTGAGCACAACTAACTTCTGAGTGAAGTACCTTGAACTTGAATAAGACTCAATAAGTTATTTAAATACAACTCCACAGACAAGGCTTCGAACCACATTTTATGAACAGCAGAAATTAAATATGGAAATGAAGCCAGCATTAACAAGTACAGGTAAAAGTGGGGTTAGAGGTTTGATTTGGTTAAATTTCCATTTTAAACGTTACCTCAGACAGACAACTCACCTGGTGTTGGTTGCGTCCATATTTTATACACACCAGGGAAAGGGGACGGTGCGTTAGGGTACAGTAAGATTAAGGTCATGGAAGCTTTGAATACGAGGGGCTTAGTAATTTAGGTCAGATAAACTGATTGTGATATTGATGGTTATAAGCAACTGAAATATGTGCTGAGCCAAACTAAGCCTACGGCCATGGCCAAAACCCACCTGTTCCCTTTAGAATCGGTTGTCAATTGTCAAATTACAATCGCCCCCCACCCCATTGCACATATCCCCTACTTAGTACTACTTTGTAAAGAAGCACAAGAAATTCACACCCTAAAATGTATCAGCTGTTCCAAATACACAGTAGTTATGTTCCGGACCGTGGCACCCCCGTCCCCCCTCTCCCTGTGTTACAGATGAGTTAGGGGAATGACGTTTTATGTTTACCTGATAAAAGACCCCACACTCTATGACCCCCACATTATGACGATCATATGTCTGATTCAGCAGACTAAGACAGCTGGGACAGATAATGGGATTGCCACGATAGACTCATTCAGCAGACTAAGACAGTTTGGACAGTTAATGGGATAGCCACGATAGACTCATTCAGCAGACTAAGACAGCGGGGACAGATAATGGGATAGCCACGATAGACTCTTTCAGCAGACTAAGACAGTTTGGACAGTTAATGGGATAGCCACGATAGACTCATTCAGCAGACTAAGATAGTTTGGACAGTTAATGGGATAGCCACGATAGACTCATTCAGCAGACTAAGACAGTTTGGACAGTTAATGGGATAGCCACGATAGACTCATTCAGCAGACTAAGACAGCGGGGACAGATAATGGGATAGCCACGATAGACTCATTCAGCAGACTAAGACAGCGGGGACAGATAATGGGATAGCCACGATAGACTCTTTCAGCAGACTAAGACAGCTTGGACAGTTAATGGGATAGCCACGATAGACTCATTCAGCAGACTAAGATAGTTTGGACAGTTAATGGGATAGCCACGATAGACTCATTCAGCAGACTAAGAGAATACATTATGCGTGCGCTGTCATGATACATTTTCCCCACGAGAGCATGACGTCACACTCTGAAAGAAGGCGATAGAACATTAAACCTTGCCTTATTATCTCTATATGATTCTCGATCTTTTTGTTTTTTATGCCTCAACATGTTATTTAGATATAGTTTATGAGTTGGTCACTGACGGGGTGGACAATTTAGTTTTCATGAATCACCCAATTGCGTTGTCTTATTTCTGTAATCAGTAGTTCTCGTCAAGTGGGGTATAATCGCTAATGAGAATGCCCCGGCATTTCCTTTGAGAACCGTTGCCGTGCAGGATAAGACCGAAAGAACTAGGGTCGTGTTTGTTGGAGGTGAACCTTAGTCCATATCTATCCAAAAATTGAATAATAATAAGTGCTTCCAAATAATTGTATACACCAATATCATTTCTCTGAACATCCACCGGAACGTATCGGCGGACTCTTTACTTTATAAACCTGGTTGGTGTACCGTATAGGTAATCCAGATGGTAAACGGTGTAAGGATTCAGATAAATAGACGGGTAAGATGTCTGCGGGCAGCGGTTCTCAACCTGTGGGTCGTGACCCCTTTGGGGGGTTGATCGACCCTTACACAGGGGTCGCTTAAGACCATCGGAAAACAAATATTGAAGTAGCAACGAGCATAATTTTATGGGTGGGGGTCACCTCAGGATGATGAACGGTATTAAAGGGTCGCGGCATTGGGGAAGGTTGAGAGCCACTGCATCAGTACATTCGACCCTCGGTGTCACAGCGTTTGAAATTTAAATAATTGCGATGACCTCCTCCCCCCCTCCCTCCCTCGAGGAAATGTGACGGTCACCGTAATGTGATTATGTTTTTTTAAGTATAAGATGTTTATGTTTATAAAGGAAAGCTAAGATAAAATCATAACAAGATAAATGTTTTTAGTGTGACCAGATTAATTTCAGACGGTTGTTGGACATGAGTATGTGCTGAGTATATTTTGAAACTGACGCGGGGCTATGGTAACGCTAGATGTGCTGGTGAAGGCGTGTGCCGAAACGGTGGAGTTTTTATGGTGTGTAATCATAATTAAGGCTGAACAGACACTGTTTTATTTACTGGTGTTGTTTGTGTCTCGTAAATATACTTTTCAAAGCGTTATCCCAGCGCACCACTCTTACAGCTGAATGTATTACACTGGAGTTGCGACTCCGGGCTCGGGAACATAGCATTGTAATGAAATTTACCCCCCCCCCCCTTTTTTTTGTGTGTCTCTTTTCCCCCCACTAATCTCCGGTTTTTCCGGGATCCAGCTGTATACCCGGTAGATTAAAGGGCCGTCCACCAGGTATGTCACACTATTATTGACAAATTTACTTTTTTTTTTTGTTTCTCTTTTCCCCCCACTAATCTCCGGTTTTTCCGGGATCCAGCTGTATACCCGGTAGATTAAAGGGCCGTCCACCAAGTATGTCACACTATTATTGACAAATTTACCCCCCCCCCCAATGTAATCTAATCAATGTACATTACCAAGTACCATTTTCTGTCAGGACACATCCATCACAACATGAAGTTAAATATCACTGTCAAGTGCAGGTTTTATTTTGCATGAGGAAAAAAAAATATGTTACGTCACATGTTCTTTTTATACCCACCCCAGGGGTCACAAACTGTCACACTTTCTTAGGATCCCCCCACCCACACCCACACCCTTTTTCTCCAGAGCATAACGTATTTTACAGATGGTCCCTAAACCAACCCTTTAGGCTTTGATAGTGTTGTCACGACCAGTTTTGATTAGTGTTGTCACGGCCAGTTTTGATTAGTGTTGTCATGACCAGTTTTGATTAGTGTTGTCACGACCAGTTTTGATTAGTGTTGTCACGACCAGTTTTGATTAGTGTTGTCACGGCAAGGTTTGATTAGTGTTGTCACGGCAAGTTTTGATTACTGTTGTCACGACCAGTTTTGATTAGTGTTGTCACGACCAGTGTTTTTTAGTGTTGTCACGACCAGTTTTGATTAGTGTTGTCACGACCAGTTTGGATTAGTGTTGTCACGACCAGTTTTGATTAGTGTTGTCACGGCCAGTTTTGATTAGTGTTGTCACGACCAGTTTTGATTAGTGTTGTCACGACCAGTTTTGATTAGTGTTGTCACGGCAAGGTTTGATTAGTGTTGTCACGGCAAGTTTTGATTAGTGTTGTCACGACCAGTTTTGATTAGTGTTGTCACGTCCAGTTTTGATTAGTGTTGTCACAACAACTTTTGATTAGTGTTGCCAGCCTGTGCAGCCTGAAAAAGCGGAAGTGTGCCCTGAGAATTATAATAAGTCACAATGATATAACGA